TATATTCAGGTTTTCTTACAGCTGAAGTAAGTGCATATATGCACATCTGTGTGGGAAAGACAAATGTTAGGATTTTTGAAAATACATTGAATTAAGCAACTTCATAATCATAATGTTGGATATAAGCATGGCATTCAGAATATCCTGAATGGGCAAATGAAGATAGTAATAATGGTCTGTTGAATATAGATTTAGCTTTACTCCCAGAAAATCAATGGGTCTTGGTCATTGCTTGCTTTTCACATTTATTTCAATAGAATTTAAGTATAGCCAAAAGATAGTACAAGTCTAATAAGAATTAAGGTGCAATAAATTTAGATGAGCTTCCTTACGCATACATGTGGAACTATTCTGAATTGGTCTTCAAATATTTGATGCCTACCTGATCAGTTTAAAATGATCTTTTAAAAAACTAATTTCTAATGCCAACTTTCAATCCTAATACTGGACTGAAAAAAGTTTACCCAGTCACTTTATTATAAAAAGTCTTTTTTTCTAGCTAAGGAATGTTCTTACAGCAACATCCAACATTTTAACACATATTTTTGAGAGTTAATCAATTGCAACCATACAAAATTTAACTGCTAAATTCTTAACTTGATTCTGTGTCTCTGGTAACTTTTTTTCTTTGAACAAAATAAGGAACATAATTATAATGTAATAATAGCATTTAATTTATAGATGCACATTGTATGAATCTTGCTATCCTTTTTTACTATTCCATATTTGAATTTGCTGCTAGGGTGATTTTTTGTTTGTTTGGTTTGTTTTTGGGTTTCCTTATGCATGTTGCGTATTCATTGGCTTTATGTTTTAATGCTCTGTGTTAACTTTACAGAATAAAACATTTTAAAGTAAAGACTACTTGAAGCAAAATGTTATATTTAGAAGCATCAAAGTACTAATGATTTTTTCTCTGTTCGATTGCTCTTTGTATATTTGAATGGAAGTATAATTAATTGTTTTGCTTCATTATATTAGGAAAAGGTTGGTTACATTATTGACTATAATGACACTAGCCTGAATTGTATTTTAAAGTTGCACTTCAAAAATAGTTCAGGTAAATATGGATTTTTCCATCCCAGTGCTCTGCAAGTTTTGTTTTTATAATATTAGACTAAGAGTTAGTGTTTGGTCCGAGGCAGATTGGCAGCCTCAAAAAGAAGTAGGGATGACCACAGATTTCCTTACATATAGCTCAATGTTAAGTTCTTTTTTAAATTGTTTCTCTGAAGATGGTTAATTAGTAACCACTTTTTCTTCTGCTCTACTGTGTCCATTTATCCAAGACTACCCAGCCAAATCCCTGCAATTTTCCTGGCAAGGTTTTTCAGAAGTGGTTTGACATTGCCTCCTTCCTAGACCAAATGCTACAAGAATAAACAGAAGCAATATTATGAATGGCCAACAAGGATCCTTCCTCATGAAAGCGGTACTGATTTGAGGATATCGCCTTCTTCCCCTCAGATGATGCCAAGAAGCTTCTGGTGGTCTGTACATGCAGAGCCAATGGAAAGTAGTTTCCTCTGAACTTGAAAGCAGGTGGTTCTCCCTGAACACAATGATATCTGAGATTATTCATGAACTAGAGATCATTTGCACATTCCTGTTAATTACTCCACATTGTAAGAATTAGCAAGAATAGCAACTTGGTTTTTGGATACTTCTCACATGTTCAAAAAGCAATAAATATCAGATTCCCTGAGAAATTCTTTCAGATCACCATCTAGCATCAAATTGAAATTTTTAGCCTAGGGGTTTTAATAAAAAGCGCAGAAAGTTACAAAATAATTACACTTTGCAGTTCTCCAATAGAGTTCTGCCAGATGTTTTTTCAAAATGAATGGAATTATAACTAACTGCCTACAGATGGCACTGTTTTGCAGATAATGTCATTATTTTAATTGCTTTTTTTAGTTGAAAGTGTCTTCCTTTTACCAGTATTAAATTATTTGAAAGGCCATATTATGCAAAGAGTTTCAAAACTCACCTCTTGTAGCATGAAAAGAATACTTCCATAGCTCATCCTAGAATCTCAGGTGGATTTCTTCCTGCGCATTATCCCCACATAGTAAGGATCCTAGAAACGTTTTAAAGTAATATTTGTTTTACTGACAATAGTTTATATAGCTTGTCAGTTCCCTTGAGAGGACTATGGTCCTTCAGATAGCCAGGCCCAATGCCATGCAGGACTTTATAATTAATAACCACGTCTTGAATTGCAATTGGGCACAGACTGGCAACCAATGCAGTTTCTGTAGCAGCAACAATTTCTTAACTCTTTTTTATGCAAATGAGAATTTGGTCCTTTGCCTTCATCCATGTTCAATCCCTGTATTCTTCCCTGTCATTTCCATAGTTTCCAACCTCATTATTTTACTCTTAATATACAGATAGACAAACAATTTTCTCTTCCTTGACAAAAGTTTTAATAAGACAGAATAAAAAATTATGTGTAATACAAAGTTACTCTTGCATGTAATTGCCAACATACATAAAAATGCCAAGTATTCGGCTTGGTTCGGGTATTTTCCCACGTCATTGTAGTTGTTCTTTTAAAGTTGTAGCAACGTTTCAGCAGAATCTCATCTGCCATCATCAGGCTTCTGTATTGTGTCCGTCTGTGGGTCAGACTTTTACAGTGGTTTCAGATTTAAATTTGGGGCAGCCTATTGCTGTGCCAGAAAAACTCTCCTCCTTTGGAACTTTTAGGCAAGACATCTCAACAGCTTCATATTTAAGTATATATGTAGAGAATGATGAAAAAACCATTTTCCATAGCTGATAATAATATCATATTTGGCATCCTCATAATGCCATGCAGACAGATTTTATTTGTAATAATAGAATTTTAGGATTGAAAAGTTGGAAGAGAACCATCTATGCCAACCTGCTGCAATGTATAGGAAAATCCCTTATACTATCCACGAGGAAACATTTTCCATTCTTAAAAATCTACAAAGATGAAGGGCTCACAACTTTCATTTTGGTGATATTTAATCAAATTAGAGTTGATATTTTATTGGAAGAAAGTGGTACCATTTAGAGAGAGAAAATATTTAGAAGACAGAAGGGATTTTTTTTATCATTAGCCCTTCTAACTGAGAACCTTCTATGTGGAAATACTGACACAGTAAATCAATGAAATGACTAATGGTGCAGTGGAGGCTTGCAAATTTACAAATTGTTTTAATTGATTTCTGTGCAAGTGACATAATATTCATGGGAACAGAACTATACAATATACTACTGCCTTGTGCTTGATGTATTTGTGTTCTCATTTGACAAGTTTCTGGCTTGCAGTACTGTACAGTTGCCAGCAACAGGTTGGTATAATTAAGGTAAAAGAGCCTGAATGCAAAATTGCCACAGGCCAGCATTTGTAGTTTGAAAGACAATGGGGGTCTACCATCATGACAAGCAAAGCAACAGCTGTTCTTTTATTTTTGTGAAGACAGGAAAGAGATGTGTGTTTAAGCATGGAACAGCAAAGGAAGAATCACAAAGCCCATTAATGGCCAGGAAGAAAGCACTGGTTGTTGACCACACTCTGAATTCAGATATAGTTCAGAAAGTGTAAGCAACAGCTGGCTGACAATTCCTTGTGAGTGCTAAATTCAGAAACGTCTATACGTGCCCTCATTAATAGCATTCTGATATCTGAATAGACCTTAAAGTAGTTGATCCAGCCCACGTTTATTTTGTGCACATTTCATATTGGATTTGTCATGCTGAATTCAGAAGTTTTGGAAAATAAGGCTTGTTTTCTGGAAAAACCTGGTAAAAATACCTTCTGACTGATGATGTCTCATTTGCTTATTATTTTTTTCAGTCATGAAACCACAAACCTTGAACACGAGGTTTAGAAACGTTTGCTCATTCTGTTTGAAAGTCTCCTTTTTGCTTAACATAATCTTGATGTAATACTTCTGAACCTCAACTGTGATTAAAAGATCAGGATTGTCTGCGGGCACATTGTTCCTTCCTCCGTTTTCTTTTTTTCTGTGCAAGTTTCCCAAACATCCTCTAATATATTAAAGAATAGATGGGCATATGTTGATTCCTGAGCAACAGTAAATTGTGAAAATTTAATTGTTATTAATAGTTAGGTTTGCTACCTTCCAAATGTTTCAGGATTACAGTTCCCAAAACTTCTGAGAAGACCAAAAGGAAAGTTATTTAAGAATACTTCTTAAGAGATTTGTCTTACTATATCCTGTTGAACCATTGTGTTTATTTTCTATGGCCTTGCTTTATGCAATATGCTAATCCATAGTGTGATGTCTAAACCATGGTTTGTAGGTTTTCATGTCTATTGTGTTTTGTTTAATAAACCATGGTTACAGAAATAATAGGTTTAAATCATGTGTGAACCAGGAGGTATATTAATACATTTTCAAGTGGGACCACAGCACAGCATCAAAAATTAATTTCATCAACCGATCTGTTCAGGTATTCTATCAAATGGATAGACATGTACTCTCTTACAAATGTTGGTCAATACTTCTGGATCACCAAGCAGGATCAATTCTCACTTTGGTTTTAATGGAGGATTTGGAAGATGCTAATACTCCTGCCTTGATTTTCAAAGCCTCCTTTTAGCTGCAATTTTGTTGGCATTGACCAGCACGGTTTATATTGAACCTCCTGAAATGAAGTTTAACAAATATGATACATCTGAGCAAAGCATTGCAGCAATTTTTAAAACCCTTTTAGCCTTACATTTTAAAATATCTTTAAACAGTTATCTGAAACTAACATATGCTACTTCGATTTGGGTTTGCTTCCTTTTATTCTTCAGTGGTTCCTCTCACAAGGTGGAAGAGATGTTAAAAGATAGCAATAACAAAACAGTTAAGGTTATGATTGGAAACCAAGAGCAGCAATTCTACTGCAGGAAGATCTGGGCTGAAAAAAAAACCTGCTTTGTGTGAGATAAAGCGTTTTCCCACCCCCTTCCTTCTTTCATTTCTCATGATCTCGCTACTTCTGAGCACTCAAAGATGACTTAAGAATGTTCAATGATGCTAAAGACAATATTTCTGTTCCACAGATTCCCTTCCATTTTCACAATGGCCCTGAAGTGAGGATAACTCCAGGCCATGTACATAGGCAACGTTGCACTACTGCTTCTCTTGCTGATGCTGATGGTGGACAACTCATTGACACATGGTAAGGGACACTACTAAGAGCAATCTTCTTCAAAATAATAGCAATATGTGCATGAATTCTCTTTCTAGATGCTGCATAAGGACTCGTGGAAAACTACAACTCTATTTAGATGACTATATGAAGCAAGATATGGGCTTAGTATCTTCATCTAAAAATTCTAATTCTGCTAAACACATTTATGACCAAGTTATTAACTTTCGCAGGACAAAAAGCAACACAGAATATTTTTCAGTTCTACACTTTGTGTTTATGTGATGGAATAACGTAGATACACAATTATATGTATATTTTCTCAAGCTAAGTCCAGCTGATCAGAATGTAGCTTCCTATAAAGCAGGCCAGTTCTTTTAAGTTAATTACAAACAAGTGCATTTTGTCAACAAATGTTTAACAGATTTTATTTATGTATTTATTATTTATTTTGTCAAGCAAGTATTAGATAACAGGTATAAGTATAAACATGGTTATGAATACATGAAATGGATACGAATAAAAAGAAACATTAGAACAGGGACAATAGGGTGCGCTTATGCATGCCCCCTATTTTAACATGATTTTATATATTTTAACATGAGCCAATGAATAAAAATGCAGTTTGGATTTTAATTTGTGAAATGTGCAAACACAGTAAATGTTTACATATTTTTTCAAAAATGCAAAAATATGTTTATTGCATTGTGTGTGTGTGTGTGTGTGTGTGTGTGTTCATACATACACAAATAGAGTTGATCAAAGCAAACATGAAATAAATATTATGAAAAACAAATTTATAGATTTAAGTTTAAGTTCCCATTAATATTCACTGTGAAAAACCACTTGGGGATATTTTGCAGAACCCTAGTTTACACCTTCCTCCTAACATGTGGGAATTTGGAATAGAGCAGGGCTGCCAAACTCTTGGCCCACGGGCCAGATGCATCACACACTGGCCATGCCCACAGTTTAGCAAAGGGAGCGGGGAATCCCAATACATCATGTGATGCCTCTGTGACTATGTGAGTTTGACACCCCTAGAATAGAGTCTCAAAAGGAATGATAATACCATCTATGATGATTTCAACTTGCATTGTTTTTAAAAAAATATTATAGTTGGCCCTAATAATTTTGACTTATCCTAGAGATCCAAAACTTCTTGAGCAAAGTTGGGCATGATTGTAAAGCCAGATGGCTGGCCTGGAACGAGATGTGAATTGGAAGGGAAGGCGGATCTAGGAAGGGAATTTTTAATGACAAAATAATAATTAATAGATTTTATCCCACTTTTTAATATATAATTTAAGGTAAAAAATATAACTAATACCCCCTTTTCTTCCTACCGGTATTTCCCCTCATAAACAACCCCGTGAAGAGGGCTGGGCTGAGAGTGCCTAACCCAAAACTATCCAACCTGTGTGTCTAAGGCAAGAATATAACTCACAATTTCCTGGTTTCTAGGCCAACACCTTAACTACTATACCAAACTGGGTCTTTTGAATGGTTGCTTTATTGGCATAGCAGACTGCTAGTTTCCAGATATTTTAATATCAAATTCTCTTGCTTTCCACATGGGTTTACCCTACCAGTCTGTCTTCACCATTCCCAGATGTACACATTGCTATCAGCCAGCCAATGTGGACTTTTGGTTCTTGGAAAGAAAGTATTCAAACGTTAATCTAGCATAGCTGGAACCTGGTCTCAAGCCAGCAGCAGAAATGAATTCTAATGGGGAAAGCAAACAAATATATTTATCATTGTAGGGAATTGTGCACAAAAGAGTTTAAGAATCCCTGGCTTAGCTTACATATGAGTGTTTTCTCTGTCTTGATCAAAGGAATTTTGCTTCCCCTTAAAATATGGCTTTATATGGGCTTCCACTTCTCCTTTAACTTCTGCTTTTCTTGTCCACATGAAAAAAACAAAGGTTAGTTGTTTCAAGTGAGTTCACATACTACATATGAGGAATTGAAATTGTAAGAGGAGAACTTACAGTATATATTTTTAGTTCTGGAAAGGGAAGATGATTTTTTTCTCTTAGTTCTTTCCTACTCGTATTTGTCCCTTTCTAATATCCTTATCTGCAATACAAATTGAGGCTCTTGTTCCTTTTTCCCCAAATTATTTTCTTTGGTGCAAGTTTTGTGCATCAATAAATTACATCCACTTATTTTGATATCTCATTCCACCACTGTCCTTTCCCCCAAGTATTAAGATTAGAGTTATTGATTAATGATTGACAGTTACTTCTGTGAATGTATGTACCCTCACTACATAATCACTAGCAATTAGGCCCAAAACAGGAAGAAATTTTTAAACATAACACCAGAATGGGCAAAAAGAAAAAGAACAAGAATCCAAACTTAGTTTCACAGACTATTTATATATTTCATGTGAAACGTCACAAGAGAATTATTCGGCTTTTCTCTTGCAAATTTCAATAATACTTTCACACAGCCAACAAAATAACCCCGAAGTCTGAAAACATGAATCGTTTCTACTTTAAACCTACACATTTTCTAGCACAAATAAACCACCAAAAGTACTATTTCACCTATTGTAACTTCTTTTTCTATATCTTCCAAAAATTATATAAGTCAAGAGTCCCCAACCTCTGGACCATGGCCCACTACTGGGCTGTGATCTGTTTGGAACCAGGCCATGGAAACAGCAAGTACATGCACACGCATCCTCACTCGCATGAGCAGCAAACAAGCATGTGCACACGCGCTCCATTTGTGTGAGCGGCGGATGTGTGTACATACTGCTCATGCAAATGAAGCTGCATGTTCTTGCTGGCCACTCCCATAGAATCATCCCGTTCCCCACCCTCCCCCACAATTTGCAAAACTGGGAAGATTGGGGAATTCTGATATAAGTAACTGATGAGTTTCAATTCTCAAACTTCAGACACCTGATTTTAGTTCAGCCTTCAAGTATTTGCAATGACTTTTTAATCATTTCTGCTTTTTTCAGTAACAGCTATACCATCAGCTTTGGGCATTTATTTAGCAAAGTGATCTTCAAAGTCAAATAGGGGATGAAGAAAAGGAATTAATTGACTTGGCTGTCACATTGAAAAATAGACCTTTAATTAGTTGTTGTTGTTTTTTAAGAAGCAAACTTTTCCGTCTGTTATTTTAGAGGTGGTGAGTAATGATAATTGAGAGACTTAAGCTGGAATAGGCCTGGGGCCTTTAAATTTACTTGTTGCTACCGTGTTTCTCACAAAATAAGGCCGAACCTTGGTGTTTTTTTTGACCCCCGAAAAAACGGCTAGGCCATCTTTTTGGGGGTGACTTAATTCCCCCCCTTGCATCCTCAGGTGGGTGGGCAAAGACAGCTTGGGTGTTGACCTCGGTGTTGGTGGGGCACTTCGTATCGGGAGACCTTCTGCCACCGTTGCTTTCCCTTCTCCCTTGCTGCTGCGCCATTTAGAGCAACGCTGTGGCGTTTGGCACAGCCACGTGCGGCCAGCCAGGGCTCCTCCCTGCAACTGGAGCCCGGCGGAGACACTCGGCTTCAGGCGCTCCTGTCGCCGCCTTCCCTTGCCTTCGAAGGTAAAACCAATTATTTTAAAAACGATGCCCTACTACAACAAAGACTCCCCTACCCGAGAGGGCAGCCCAACCCCACGTGGGGAGGCGAATCTCCCGGGGCCGCAGCGCAGGATTGGCCCACCTCGGGAGAAGCGCCCAGCCGCCATCCCTGCCTGGCGCCAGGCAGAGCGCGAAGAGCTTCGCCTGGGGCACCCAGCGCAGCTGACAGGTGGGCCCTTCTTCCCGGCAGTCCGCTCATCCCGCCAGGGCTGCGCCAGAGCCGTGTGGGCTGGACAGAGCCAGGAAAGCGAGCCGTGGGTGCGTGCCTGCCTGCCAAGCAAAAGAGTCGGGCCGACCTGAGCTTGGCTTCCTTCCGAAGTCCCTCCAGCGCGAACCTGAAGGGGCCACCGGGAGAGGCTGCCTGAGGCAGTGATAGCGCCCACCCATCCCCGGACAGGGAGGCGAGGTGATGGCAGCGCTGCTTCCCTGGCCGGCGGAGAAAGCCCAAAGCCGCCCATCCTTTCCACCCATCACCCAGCCCATCCCCGTCCCCACGCATCTCCAAATGTGCCAGCAGCTCTAACTGCTGCAGCGGAATGGGCATCAGGCCGAGGCGCTGACTCGGCGGGGCTCAGCTCGGAGGAGGACGCAGCGCAGGCTGTCGCCTTGCCTCCCTGTCCACAGATGGTTGGGTGCTATCACTGCCTCGAGCGGCCTCTTCCGGTGGCCCCTTCGGGTTTGGGCTGGAGGGACTTGGGAAGGAAGCCAAGCTTGAGTCAGCCCTGCTCTTTCGCTTAGCAGGAGGATGCACACCCGCAGCTCGCTTTCCCGGCTCTGCCCAGCCCGCACAGCTCTGGTGCGGCCCTGATGGGATGAGCAGAGGGTCCAGCGGGGAGGCGCTCGCTGCCTTGGCGAGAGCTCCGCCGCCGGGCAGGAGGGCCCGCCTGTCAGCTGCGCTGGGTGCCCCAGGCGAAGCTCTTCACACTCTGCCTGGCGCCAGGCAGGGCTGGCGGCTAGGTGCTTCTCCCGGGTGGGCTGATCCTGCGCTGCGGCCCCGGGAGATTCGCCTCCCCACGTGGGGTTGGGCTGCCCTCTCAGGCAGGGGAGGCTTTGTCATACCGGTAGTAGGGCATCGTTTTTAAAAGAATTGGCTTTGCCTTTGATGGCGAAGGAAAGGCAGCGACAGGAGTGCCTGAACCCGAGTGTGTCCGCTGGGCTCCGGTTGCAGGGAGGAGCCCTGGCTGGCTGCATGCAGCTGCGCCAAACGCTGCGGCGTTGCTCTAACCGCCACGGCAGCAAGGGAGAAGGGAAAGCAACGGTGAAGGAAGGTCTCCTGAAATGAAGTGCCCCACCAATGCCAAAGTCAACACAGGCAGCACCATATCCGGGTATGCAACAAAACTACTTCCTAACGGCAAGCCCCCCCTCCGCCATTCCTCCCTATTTCGCATGTTTAATATAGGTCTTAATTTGGGGGAGGGGCTTAATTTGATTTTATGCCAATAAAACATGCTGGGCCTTCCTATTGGTGGAGGCCGTATTGTTGGAGAAACACGGTATTGGGTTCCTATCACATTGTCTAAGGCGGGGGTCAGCAATGAGCGGCTCTAGAGAGAGAGAGAAAGAAAGAAAGAGATAGGAGAGAAATGAGAGAGAGAGAGAGAGAGAGACAGAGAGAGAGGAGAAAAAGAGAGAAAGAGATGGAGATGAGAGAGGGAAAAAGAGATGGAGAAAGAGAGAAAGATGAGAGAGGGAGAGAGAAGGGGGGAAGAAATGAGAGAGAGAGAAAGAGAAATGAGAGAGACAGAGACAGATGAGAGAGAAAGGGAGAAAGAGGGGAGGAGAAAGATGAGAGAGACAGAGACAGATGAGAGAGAGAGAAAAGGAGAAAGAGAGAGAAAGAGACTAAGGGAGATGAGAAAGAGAAAGAGTGAGAGAAAGAGAAAAAGAAAGAGGCAGAGGGAGATGAGAGAGAAAGAGAGAGAGAAAGAGAGAGAGAGAGAGTAGAGAAATGAGAGAGAGAGATACCAGTTTCCCAGAGAAAAGAAAATACCAGGAGCTACAAAACCTGAGAAGGCATGGCTGGGGGTGTCATGTGACTGGGTGGGAGTGAGTGACATCTAGTTGGCCACGTCCACCCAGGTTTTGTGGCTCCTTGTGTTTTCTTTTCTGTGGGAAATGGGTCCAAATGGCTCTTTGAGCGTTTAAGGTTGCAGACCCCTAGTCTAAGGGAACAGAAGCCTCATTAGATGTTCTAATGATGGGGAAGTTTATTTATCTGTCAAGAAGACTGTTCATAAATTTGGGTCCTTAATGTGGTACCCTTTGGACTTTCCTACCTGGATTTCTGTTTCTGACCACTCAGCAATGGTAGCACTTTTTATTGTGAACAAACTAGTAGTCCCAAAGCCAATACAAATCCTAAGACAACTTTGCATAATTCTAAATATGTTTACTGGTTACTGAAGTCAAAAGTTTATTATCATCATGTTCTAAAAGCCTATGTATTCCTGACATTTAAATAAGACTTATAAAAAAAATTAACTTGTGAAAGGAAAAAAAATATCCCCACAAAAAGTGATAAAAGATGTCTGTTAGATATTGCGTATATTGCTACTACTGAGATACATACATTATGCAAAACATAATTTCCATCTTGCTTTTCTCTCTCAGATTCTGAGGATGATAATTGCACCACCATTACTATTGAAAGAGGTACAAAATACTATAAAAATCTTGGTGACTCAGCCAGTCTAGAGTGCCCGGTGACCTACTGCAGCAAAAAGCCTAAAATGAATTGGTATATGCTGAACAAGAGCAAAGAGACGTTCCATATATTGAAGGATGAAAAAGAACATTCCATTTCCTGGAAAAATGAAAATACATTTGTTTTGAATTTTCAATCAGTTCATAAAAATGACAGTGGACAATATCGTTGTGAAGCGATAGTAAGAAAAAATAATCTTGCAAGTCATGTTGTAGAATTAATTGTTCAAGGTAAGTTTTCAGGTAATATTTATCCAGTTTATCATTTAAAACTCTCGAGCCACCAATCTTCACACAACATAGTTCAGCATAATGCCTCAGGAGTAGGACAAGTTATGAAGTTGGAAAGAGACAGACACTATAATATTAATAATTTATTCAATCTTCTGATATTATCCACTAAAGACTTTTTTGTTATTTTGCCCAAAAAAATCAACAGTATCATCAACAATATGATTATCTATGCTATACTGAAAAAAACTATTTTAATCCATTTTTTAAATATCTATGTTTTCATTCTAAATAAGTGATTAATGTAGTTAACAGACTAGATAAGGATAATAAATTTAAGCTTAAAATAAAACCAACAAAGCTAATCTTGGAACAAGATGTTCAGGGAATATAAATTTCTTCTGTTGAGGGTGAAATCACATTCTGGTTTACAATTTAGGTATAGGCCTGAATGTAAATATCCAGTTTTTTTAGATTGCCAAACCTATATTCACACAGTTAAAAAGTAGTAGAGTACTATATCTGTTCCGTGATATGTTAGTTCTGGTTAATAAATGTTCCAATCAGAGGTGGTATTCAGCAGGTTTTGACCAGTTCTGGAGAACCGGTAGCAGAAATTTTGAGAAGTTCAGAGAACCAGCAAATACCACTTCTGACTGGAGATTTTATAGTATCCTTCTCCTGCCACGCCCACTAGGCTACACCCACAGAACCAGTAGTAAAAAAATTTGAATCCCACCACTGGTTCCAATTACATAATTTTGAAACCTAATGTGAATCTACCTTTGAAAGGTATCTGGAAACTTCAACTGGTACAGAGACTAGTGATAGAAAACATAAAAACTTCATTCAGTCCACTTCCAAGCACAGTTTGGAGGAATAGTTATATCTTACAAAATGTTGCTCAGTTTAGGAGCAGACTACATAAAAAAGTTCATTTTTCCATAGCATCCTGCATGGGTTTTGTTAAATTATCTGGATTATTAAACTTTTCCAATGTCAGGCCTTAGCATTCATTACTAACATGATAGAGGATCTTTCTAATACCTGCTCTCTTGTTTTGGAACTGCTTTGCAAAGCAGAACAAATTAACTCCAATTTTGTTGTTGTAATAGCAGTCAAAATACTGTATATTTACTGAGTTTAATTTAAGGGCTGATTTGTTTGTTTTCCATCTTCCAACAATGACAACTTCTCTCTCTCTCTCTCTTTCTCTCTCCCCCCCCCCCCCCCCCCCCCATGTGTGTGTTGGACCTTCAAGTCAGTATTGCCTGGCTAAGTCTCTGCAGTTTTCTTGGCAAGATTTTGGAAATAATTTACCATGGCCTTCTTCCAGGATTGACAGAGTGACCAGCCTGAGGTCACCCAATTGTCTATGTGCCTAGAGCCAGATTAGAACTCACGGAATCACAGTTTCCAGCTTAGTGTTTTCACTACTACAGCAAACTAGTTCTCGTATCGCCAAATGTTTCTGTTATTTAGTAAGAAATACAATATTTCAATTCCTTATGTTCAATCTTCAAATTGCTTCCCTGATTGAACTCAGTATTTTAGTTTTTCCCTTCAAGGCCAAATTTACATGGACTTGAACATTGCACGAGCATGGACCGTATGGTAGATGGCATCATGAGCCATTAGAGTGCAGTTCAAATCTCACTAGGCTCAAGGTTGACTTCCATCCTTCCAAGGTGGGTAAATGAGGACCCAAATTGTTGGGGGCAATATGCTGACTCTGTAAACCACTTAGAGAGGGCTGCAAAGCACTGTAAAGTGGTATATAAGTCTAAGTGCTATTGCTATTGCTATATTAGTGATAATTGAACATATTCATATAAGAAGCCTATAAAAGTTACAGTAATAACCATAATAGCTGTATTCACACAGTACTACACATCAGAACCAAGCAAACACATTGCAAATTGCTACAAGATGTAAATCTGGGTGATTTATAGTCTGGTGTTCAAAAGTGTTTTTTCAAAAGGCAACTGGACTTTGTTTTTCCTTGAAGATGTTTTGTTTCTCATCCAGTTCTGAAGAATTGAAAAAGCTTCTTGGATGAGAAGAGAAACATCTTCAAAGAAAAACAAAGTCCAATTATCTTTTGAAAAAGCACCTTTGGGACAACCATGACCTATATGACTGAAAATCTCCATAGATAAAGTCTTGTGTCTTAATATTTAAAAGCTTAAAAATAATTGTGAAGGCTGAATTGGGTCAGGGAAATCAAGGCCTATTAATAGCTTTGGAGACTTCTTCACACACAGAAAATAATGCTGGTAAATAGGAATACTTATAAAACCCCATCCTCAACACTAAGATCTTTCCTGACACATTTTCTTTCAACCTGCAATTTATTCCTTCACATAACTTTTCTGACTTTTTAGATTTATTGATACTATTATATCTACAGTGCATCCTGGAACTTCTTTAAACTAAATGGCAACAAACCAGCTTTATTTAAAAAATCATGCTGCTATTGAATATTAATGAAATTTTAAATGCACTTTCTGTATAGATCACAGTAACTCATCAGTGTTTCTAAATACTACAAATACAACAGAAGATCAGAAGCCAGCTGAAAAGAACAAGATGTTGATTATGATTTATTCCATATCATCCTTTGGTACTCTGTTCCTCATTGTTGGTTACTTTGGATGGCTCTATTTCACAAGGAGGCATCAAGGTAGGTTATATAAATAATTTCATTATTTCAATCCTCAGTTGGTTCCAGTTAGTTCTTTTATGTATACTGAGAGTATTTACACCAAGACAAATTCCTTGTCCAATCACACTTGGCCAATAAAGTATTCTATTCTAATCAGAGATTTTCCAAGCTCTGCCTTTTGCTTTCAACTCATCTTTTAATTTATTTTGTATGTGTTTGGAAGCATTAATTAGGCTACCTAGTTGATGCTTATGAAATTCTTAAGTAAAGGTTGTTGATTTCAAATATTAATGTCTGATTCTATGAAGAGAAAAAGGACATTCACATTTCAAATAAACAATCTTTATATCAGAAACAATTTTGATTTACTTAAAAAGATACTGAAGTGTTTCCTTTATGAGAAAATATCTTTATGAACAATTGTAAGATTATTTTCACAACATGCTGTCTTTTCCTTCTCAGTAAAAAACACCCAGAAAGTAAAAAGCCAAGAAAGTGGAAATAACCGGGTATGTTTGTTATTAGCATCTCTTTAATTTTTTATTCTCATCTTTCCATATATGTGCCACTGAAGATGTAGCTAAATAAAACTTTTTATAATGGAGAGAGATCAGCAGGAAAACCAATTTTTTGTTCATTAGTCTTAGGATGATGAGGAATTGAAGGGGGAAAAATGAATCACCTACACTGGAACATTTCATTGAATATCACCCTTTCCTGTCTCACCTCCAAATACTTAATACACATAATCATGTTTTTCCACTTACAATCTTCTCATATCTTTTCAGTGTAGGCCAGGTCAGGAAATAGACTTCAAAAGAAAACATTGATTTTTACTTTATTGTTATAGACTACAGTAACAGATTCTTGGACATCAGACAGTTATATGAAAGAGAATTAAGGTGGTGTCACCTTAAGTTTCTTTCTTTCACACACTCTTCCTTTTTTGGGTTTAATTCATATTTTACTAACTGCCATATTCTTTCCCCTACCCCTGTAGTTCTTGCTTTTTTGTTCTGGCCTGTTTCTTGCTTTCTAGCCTAGTGTCTTAACCATTAGACCAAACTGGTTATTCATAGAATAATAGAGTTGGAAGGGACCTTGAGGGTCTTCTAGCCCAACCCACCACTCCGGCAGGAAACCCTACGCCATTTCAGAAAAAATATTGTCCAGTCTCTTTTTGAAAGCCTCCAGTGATGGAACATCCACAACTTCTTCTTTTTTTTCATTGATTTAAATCATTTATTTACTGCTTTCCAGGAATAGAAATCTTAAATAGGTTTACAATTAAAAGTTACAGTTTAACTTTAAACAATAGGTTAAAACAGTTATATATTTTTTCCTATTCAATCTTTTTTTTAAAAGTTTTATTGTTTTTTAAGAAAACATAGACAAACAAAACATAAAAACATCAAGCCATTTTCCATATATATATACATACAGTGTGTCGGTTGGTTTACAAATTGTTTTGTGCTTCCATTTCGTAGTCTTCAATTACAATTACATTGTATATATTCTCATATTGTCAATCAAATATTCCAAAATACATTAATATCATTATTAATCAATCATTTGACTATACTTTTATTCATTCATGTTTTACAAGATAATCCATATTTTATTTAATTTGTTTTGTGACAGTTCATATTATCATTTCAGATCTATCCTACAATCATTTTGTAGATATAATAAAAAAAATACATTTTTATATATTCATTATGTTCTAAAAATCTACATATTTCATTACCATGTTTTATTGTCTAACCATTGATAGAATAGATCCCAAATTTTATAAAATTGTTTATCATCTTGTTCTCTGATTTCAAATGTCAATCTACTCATTTCAGCACATTCCAATATTTTCTTAATAATTTCCTCCTGTGAATTTCCTCTCATTTTTCCAGTTTTTGGCAGATACAATCCTAGCCACTGTTAATACATTTACAATCAGATATTTCAATTCTTTATTATATATTTCAGGTAAAATTCCCAATAAAAGTATCTCTGGTTTCAAATCTATATGCTTTTTTGTCATTTTTTCCAACCATGTGTGGATTTTTGTCCAATATTTTTTGGCATTCGCACAAGTTGACCACATATGGTAATATGAGCCAGGTATTAGATGACATTTCCAACATTTTTCAGATTTGTTCTTGAACATTCTTGCTATTCTTGTTGGGGGAAAATGCCACCTGTAAAACATCTTATACAAATTTTCTTTATATGCTGTTGACATTGTCATTTTATAATTTTGAGACCACAATTTTTGCCATTTCTCTAGATCAATCCCATATCCGAAATTCTTCCCCCAAGCAATCATTGTTTCTTTAACTTGTTCTTCTTCTAGTTTAAATTCTAATAGATATCCATACAATTTTTTAATCACCTTTTCATCAGTACCTGTCAAAATCTTATCTAAATCATAGAAACCTTCTGTTTTAGAATCTTTATCATACCTTGAATGTATTTATTTTTATTTATTTATTTATTTATTTGATTTGCCAATTGTTTACAAGATAATAAGTATAAGTGTATACATAGTTGTGAATACATGAAATGGGTACATATAAGAAAAATAAAAGAAGAATAAGAGAAACAATAGGACAGGGATGGTAGGCACGTTGGTGCGCTTATGCACGCCCCCTACAGACCTCTTAGGAAAGGGGTGAGGTCAATAGTAGACAGTCTAAGGTTAAAGTTTTTGGGGTTTGGGGAAGAAACTACAGAGTCAGGTAGAGTATTCCAGACATTGACCACTCTGTTGCTGAAGTCGTATTTCCTGCAATCAAGTTTGGTGCGGTTAACCTTGAGTTTGTATCTATTGTGTGCTCTTGTGTTGTTATGGTTGAAGCTGAAGTATTCATTGACAGGTAGGACATTGCAATGTATGATTTTATATACCATGCTTAAATCAGACCGAAGACGGCGTAATTCAAGGTTTTCTTGAATTCAAGGATTTATTCAAGACTTCAATTTATTCAATTTATTCAAGAATTCAAGACGGCGTAATTCAAGGATTTGCGCATATGAAAACCAATTCATCTTTATACCTTGATCCTCTAATTTTTGCATAGATTTAAGTTCACCCTTTTCATTCAATATTTCACCATATCTAACTGTTTGTTCCTTTTTCTATATTATAGGATAGGAAAAAGCTTCAATAGTCAATAAGCAGACTGGAATTTTCAAATAACATTGCCTTTTAGTCTTCTCCCAGTTTAACTACAGAGACTCCCGTATATAATGTCTTCTGAAATACCCCTGTGTTTTAGTTCCTTTATGCCATAAAAAAGGATGCCACCCCAACAACAGATCATGTCCTTCTAGTGTCAACAATCTAGCATTTCTTAATGTTATCCATTCCTTAACCCACATCAAATTTGTAGCTTGGTAGTACAACTCCCAATTAGGCAAACCAAATCCCCCTTTTATTCTAGCATCTTGCAAAAGTTGTAATTTTATTCTCTCTTTCTTACCTTGCCATACATATTTCAACACAATTTTATTTAAATCTTCAAAATAATCTTTTCCAAGCCTAATTGGAATTGTTTGGAACAGATATAAAATTCTGGGCAATATATTCATCTTGATTGTTGATATTCTCCCTATTAATGACAGTTGTAAATTTTCCCACTTCACCAAATCTAATGCTATCTGCTGCTTAAGTTTAATATAGTTATTCTCTTTTAGTGTACTACATCTTGCTGTCAAATGTATCCCCAAGTACTTGATCTTATTCATGACCTGGATTTTTAATACATCCGCCAGTTCTTCCTTTTGTCTTGATAACATATTCTTTGTCAAAATCTTTGTTTTGTCTTTATTTATTTTCAAACCAGCCATCTTCTCATATACCACTATCTTTTTTATCAATTTTAATGCTGTTTCTAGTGGGTCTTCTAAGATGAGAACCAGATCATCTGCAAATGCTTGCAATTTAAATTCTTCTTTTTTAATTTGCATTCCTTTTATGTCCTTTTATGTCCTTTTCTAATATTTCTGATTAGCACTTCCAAGGTTAACACAAACAACAAAGGTGACAGTGGGCACCCTTGTCTTGTTCCTTTTCTTATATCAATAGAGTCCATTAATTCTCCCTCTATCATTACCTTTGCTGTTTGCTTATGATATATAGCTTCTATTGCTTGGATAAAGCATCCACAACTTCTTAAGGCAAGTTGTTCCATTGGTTGATTGCTCTCATCATTACAAAATTTTTCCTTAGTTTTAGCTTAGTTCTGTCTACTTCTCCAGATTATATATAGTATGAAAATAAAGGCTTTACTTCCAGAATGTTATCATTTGTACAATGATTGATTTTTCCATTCATCCACAGTTTAAGATGTTTAAGACTTCGAGTCAATAGTTTACTAAATATTATATTTCTAATGATTTATAACAGGCCATCAGTGCACATTACATCACACTGGACTGTATAAAAGAATTTGTGCTACCAGAGTGTTTTGAAATTTTAATATTAGGAAAATGGATGATGATGGCAAAAGGAAAGAACAACCATTTTTTATTTTCACACATTCCCCATGTAGGATGTTCAGTTCTATAGAAATTTTGTTCCTATTTTTATAAAGTCTTTAAAATTAACATC